TTTATAAAAAGATCCAAGCCGTTGGATTCAAAATCCGAGACTTGGTTGAGAAAATGTCACATGCTTGTGACGGGCCTCACCAACCGACACACACACGTCAGGCCGGTCAAAAATTGTGGCAAAATAAGGCTGAAACAACGTTGTTTTGATCCATCGGCCGAAAAAAAAAATAAATCAGAGCCGATCTCTATGCAGAGAAACCGGCTCTGTTCTCTTTTTTCTTGCAATGACCTCAGTCCTGTTTTCACAAGATTAAATTTTAATCTCTTAATTTCAAAATTTTATATAATTTTTATTTTTTGATTTTTTTATATATTTATCTTATCCATCAATTATAAAAAAACAAGGTTATCAATATTGTTTCATTCTACCCAATACAACTCGTACATATTGGTTTTAAACTTAATCTAAAATGGCACAAAATTAAATTTTATTATATCAAATACTAGTCGTTTTGATCAAAATTTTGTGTACTAACAGTATTTCAGCTTAGCAACCGATACACCAAAATCTTACCACTATGAGGTTTTTTTTTTTTTTTTTATCTATATATCTGATTTTTTTTTTTAAATACCACTTACCAAATTATGTTGTAAAAATATGTTTATCTTTTAAAAAAAATACAATTATGAATGTACTTATCTTTTCATGAACAAAATATCTCTAGTATCCCAATATATATACACAAATCGTGAGTCACATGTCAAATTACTATTATTTTTTACTAAATAGGTCAAATGATTATTTAATTAAATTTAAATTTGAAAAAAAAACAAAAGGGAAAAAAGATTTAAAATTTCATTATTTCAATATATTTTTATTTAAAAAACTAAAATAATTTTAATCTACTAAATACATGATCAATTAATAATTTACACATAAAATAAATGAAAAAAATGGTCTAAGTCTAACCAACGTTTGTCACATCTGTTGGTGTCCGCTCGGCTTGAGGAGCCGAGCCCCCTCAAGCATTATTCATTTATTACTGGCTCAGTTTAATTTTTGTATATTTAATATTTAAATTTGGGTGTTTTAATCTAAATTATTCCATGTATTTATTTTTATTTTGAAAAA